AAGCTACACTGGACAGTGTGGCTGGTTTCCATGGGAGAGGGAATTTGGGCTTGGAGTGTAAGCTGGACAGAATGAATGGATCCTGTGATCTATCCAGAGCAACCCCAGAAGCGTGAGCTAAGCTGTCTCTTGCGTGGGTCCCAGGACAAGGACAGTGGTTCTCCCCAGCATGTGGCCCTCCCCAGTTCATCTTCCTCACCCCCACACTGCCCAGAGTGGCCTCAGAAGTCTGCCCAAGGCTGGAAGCCATAGACTGTACCTCACTGTGTCTGAGAAGCTCGGACAGTGAACCCACTGTTTTCTTTATTTGTACACTGTAGGGGCTTTTCTGCAAGGCATGAGTGACCCCCCCCCACCCCAAAGCAGAGCCCCACTCAGCCCTCCGGGCCTCTGGCACAGAGATTCAGGGCAAAACGCCTTCCTTGGCTCACCCACTGAATGATTTCGTAATACTGAGCTCTTGTGCCATCCTCCACTCTGGAGGGAGGCGATCCTTTGGAGAACACACGGTGGCCAGAATGTTGGTATCCTGCTGCGTGTCTTTCTGTGTCAGCAGGGGAAGCCATAGAGGTCTATAAGGATAAGCGGGTGGGAGTCTACTGGGGGCCCAAGGGAGCTGAGCATATCAGACTTTGTGATTTTTAAAGCTTTAGATCTGTTTTTTGAAGTGACTGCTGGTCATCAGACTTCACGGCTTCCAGACAGCAGTAAACATGGGGGCAACATTCTGAAGTGGGGTACAGGCTGCCTTAATGGGCTGCACCTCTCCCCTTGCGATGACCACAGCTGAGTGTGGAGGTCTGAGTTTAGACAACCACCGAATTTGGAGACGGTCGAGCAGGGTGGTATTGGGTTGATCAGTACCTTCCTGGATTGTCCCCTTGAGGAGTAACAAAGCCAAGCCTGGGATGTTTACTGGGAATGTTTTTCCTAGGGGTGTGTCCGGTGCAGTGGAACAGCCACATGGGCATGTCTTTTGTCCTCACTGATCCCGTTTGCTCACTAGATGTGACAGACACAGCCAAGTATTCAAAGTCACCGTGGGCTGTCATTGCCAGGAAGTGGCTGCCTAGCCAGGGACCATTTTTGCATCCTCTTGCCCCACCCCCACCCCTAGCATTTAGGAGTATGAATGGAAGGGAGGTCTTCATCAAGGCTTTCTAGCAGTGGTGAGACTTCTACACACATCCTCCTGCAGGCCAGATGTGGAGGATCCACAAAGTGGAAGGAGCTGGATCCCCGAGTCACCGCGTGGAGACAAGGCACCCTGCGCAGGAATGTGTGCTGGCGGCCATTACTGTTCTAAGTGGGAAGTAGACTTGTCCTGCATTTGAGGCATTACACATTCTGGTCTTTTGTTACTAGACAACAGTCTAGTAACACTCTAAGTAATAAACTAGATGGGCGA